GAGGAAGCAGAAAATGTCTAGGAGACTCTTATTTCCACTTAACCAGCAAAAAGCCAGAAGTGGAGGTGTGGTTCAAGTGGTAAGAAGCCAGCCATGAGTGAAAGAGCTGAGCCAGAATGCGAGGCCCTGGACTCAAGCTCCAGTACTGACATACCAATAAATTTGGAACTGGAAGTGTGACTCAAGTGGTAGAACACCAGTTGTTGAGTGTAAAAGCTGAGCAGGAGGAGCAGGCCCAGAATTCAAGCTCCTATATCAACCATGACAAAAGGCTGGGTAACCATCCACTGTGTATTTACCCAGTGGACAGTGAAGTTTGCTTCTGTGTTTCTGTTATTGTGAATAATGCTACCTACGGACATAGGTATACAAATCCCTCCACCCCTTTCTTTCCTTCCTTTCTTCTTAGATTATACCTTACTACATAGCTCAGGCTGGCCTCAAAACTTCCAATCCCTCTGCCATTGAGTATTGGAATTATAGGGAGATGCCACCATGCCCAGCCTAAAAAGCCGATTTTTCTCATAAACTTGTCAGGTCATTAGTTTTTTTTTTCCTAGGAGTCTGATCTCCCCATATTGGATCACAAACTTTTTGAGTAGGGGTTGTAAAATAGTTTATTGAGAGAGACTTGGAAAGATAAAAGCAGGAGCAGAAGCTAGTGGTGTTCATTTCCTTTGCAGAAGAATTTCAAGTACCTTCTGTAGACATTCCAGCCTCTAGGAGGTAATACTGGATCCCTCTCTCCTAAAGTGGCTTTGTTTTTTTAAAAGGTCAGTTTGCAAAGGGCCGGGGAGGAGGGGCAGATAAGAAAAGTAAAATACAAGAGAAAACCCTCATAAAATCACCTCTGCTGGGCAACGGGAGTCACTATCAGTCACATTAATGTCATGCCCCTTTGATATACTACAGTAAGAATGGTACTTTATCTCTGTGGTCTTCCTCCCCTATACCTATAACCTCTGACTAACGATGACCAAAAATACTATGTATATCCAAACCTAAGAACAAAATGCCTAGCTAGTACATATGTAAATTCTTAAGGCCATAGGGGGAAAAAGAACAAAAATTGCCAAAGCCCAGAGATATCAAAGAGACATGATGACTAAATGTAATATGTTCATCATCCAGGAATAACAAGAGGACAATAGGTAAAAGTGCTGCCCAGAAAAGAACCCTGGAGTTTAGCAATGGACCAGTGTTGGTTTTTGGTTGTGACAGAGCTACTGTTGTAATGTTAGCAACAAGAGAAGCTGGGTCAAGGGAGCGTGGCAGCTCTCTGTATTAGCCTGGAACCTTTCTGTAGATCTAAAAATTATCTTAAAAATTATAAGAAAGTTATCCGGGTGCTGGTGGCTCATACCTATAACCCAAATTACATAGAAAACTGAGATGTGAGAACCACAGTTCAAAGTCAGCCCAGGAAGAAAGGTCCATGAGACTCTGGTCTTCAGTTAATCACCAGAAAAGCCAGAAGTGGAGATGTGGCTCAAGTGGTAGAGCAATAGCCTTAAGCACAAAATCTCAGTGATAGCACCCAGCCCCTGAGTTCACGCTCCAGACCAGCATACAAAAAAATCCAGGTGCTGGTGGCTCACGCCTATAATACTAGCTACATAGGCTGACATCTAGGATCACAGTTCAAAGCCTGCTCCATTAAAAAAGTCCATAGGGGGCTGGGAAGGTGGCTCAGTGGTAGAGTGCTTGCCTTGTATGCATGAGGCACACACACACACACACACACACGTGTGCACACAGACACACACAAAATCTAAGTGGAGGTATGGCTCAAATAGTAAAGGGCCAATCTTGAGTGGAAAAACTAAGGGAGAGTGCTCAGCCCCAAATTCAAGCCCCAGAACCAACACATACAAACACACAAAAATATCTATATTATTTTAGAGAAACATAAGGAAATTAGCAGGACGTGGTGCTGTGGCTCACAGTGGTAGAACACTAGTCTTGAGCGAAAAAGCTCAGGAACAGCACCCAGGCCCTGACTGGCCAAGGTCCATGACTGGCTAAAAAAAATTTAAAAAGTCTAAAGAGCATAGCCAGGTGTCAGTGGCTCATGCCTATAACGCTAGCTACTCAGGAGGCTGAGATCTGAGAACTGTGGTTTGAAGCCAACCTAGGCAGAAAAGTCACCATGAGACCCTTATCTCCAATAGACTCCTTAAAAAAGCCAGAAGTAGCCCTGTGGCTCAAGTGGTAGAGCACTAGTTTCAACAAAAGAGTTTCGGGGACAGCACCTAAGCCCTAAGTTCAAGCACTAAGACCAGCAAAAACAAAACAAAAACAAACAAACAAAAAAGAAGGAAATTGCTGGGTACCAGTGGCTCATGCCTGTAATCCTAGCTACTCAGGAGGCTGAGATCTGAGGATCATGGTACAAAGCCAGCTGTGGCAGGAAAGTCTGTGAGACTCTTATCTCCAGTAAACCACTCAGAAAACTGGAAGTGGCACTGTGTTTCAAGTAGTAGAGCGCTAGCCTTGAGCTGAAGAGCTGAGGGACAGTGCCCAAGCCCAGAGTTCAAGTCCCACACCAATTTAAAAAAAAAAAGGAAATTGGCAATCAGTACTCAGGATTCTAAAAAATTATTGGTACTTTATAACTTTGAAAAAGGTGTCTGAATAATTTTATAAATCATTATGTTTATAGTATAGATAGGTACTAAAATATTTAACAATAATATTAAGTATATATATATATATATATATATAAAATGTGGAATAACATAATGTTGTTACAAATGTAGTAAAATAATAATGGTTAAAAAGCTATATTCATCCTATTGCCCTAAAACCTTTATCTCTATTTGTAACGTGTTTCTTAACATTGACAACTGTGGTTTTTACTGGGTAGTCATTTAAAGTTAAGGAATTTCCATGAAGTGATTGTGATCAATTAACTGAGCATGTTTCTCCAAATTTTTTATGGTGACTAAATGCAAATTGATAACATCAACACTTCTTAACCATTTTAGCTTCTCACCTTTCAATCCCTGAACATATTTTTCATGTAATTTTTATTTATTTATTTATTTATTTTTGTTGGTCATAGGGCCTGACCTCTGGGCCTGGGTGCTGTCCCTCAGCTCTTCAGCTCAAGGCTAGCGCTCTACCACTTGAGCCACAGCATCACTTCCGGCTTTTTCTGCTTATGTGGTACTGAGGAATCGAATCCAGGGCCTCATGTATGCAAGGCAAGCGCTCTACCACTAAGACACCTTCCCAGTCTCATATAATTTTTATTGAATAAAAAACCTTATAGGATGGCCAGGTGCCAGTGGCTCAGGCCCGTAATTCTAGCTACTTGGGAGGCTTAGCTCTGAGTTTCACAGTTCAAAGCTACCCCAGGCAGGAAAGTCCGTGAGACTTTTTTTTCTTTCCGTTGGTCATGGGGCTTGAACTCTGGGCTTGGGTGCTGTCCCTGTGCTCTTCAGCTCAAGGCGAGTGCTTTACTGCTTGAACCACTGCGCCACTTCCAGTTTTCTAGTGATTTTTATTGGAGATAAGAGTCTCACGGACTTTCCTGCCCGGGCTGGCTTTGAACTGTCATCTTCAGATCTCAGCCTCCTGAGTAGCTAGGACTATAGGTGTGAGCCACGGGTGCCTGGCCCGTGAGACTCTTATCTCCAATGAACCACCAGAAAACTGGAAGTGGCACTGTGGCTTAAGTGGTAGAGTACTCACCTTGAGCTGAAGAGCTCAGGGACAGTGCCCAGGCCCAGAGTTCAAGCCCCAGGACCAACAAAAACCAACCAAAAAAAAAAAAAACCCTTATAGGAAAGGAAAATATTTAGGGCTTGAAGGGTGATTTAAAAGATAGAGATCCTACCTAACAAGCATCAGGTCCTGAGTTCAAATCCCAGTACTACAAAAACAGACATTGAAGTTCCTAACTGGCACTAACTGGTTTTCTAGTGGTTAATTGGAGATAAGAAGTGGTGCTGTGGGGCTGGGAAGGTGGCTCAGTGGTAGAGTGCTTGCCTTGCATGCATGAGGCCCTATAAGCAGAAAAATCCGGAAGTGGTGCTGTGGCTCAAGTGGTAGAGTGCTACTAGCCTTGAGCTGAAGAGCCGAGGGACAGCGCCCAGGCCCAGAGCTCAGGCCCCATGACTGGCAAAAAAAAAAAAAAAAAAAAGAAGTGGTGCTGTGGGCTCAAGTGGTAGAGCGCTAGCCTTGAGCAAAGAAGCTCAGGGACAGTGCCCGGGCCCTGAGTTCAAGCCCCAGGACTGGCAAAAAACAAAAAATAAAAGCCATGTGAAAAATTTAGGTATAATCACTAAACTAATAGAAATAAAATTGTTTTTTCCAAAACCAGGGAGGAAAACAAGGGATAAATGAAGCTCAGCTGGGCACAATGGCTTGCACCTGCAATCCTAGCTATTCAGGAGACAGGAGGCCGGTAGATCTGAGGCCCTGAGTTCGAAGCCTTAGCACAACAACAAACGCACAATTGTAGCTGAGTGGCAGAGCGGCTGACCTGGGCTTCATCCCCAGCACCCACAAACCGAACCAACAGAGCCACCCGAGGGCCCCGAACAGCGTCGGTGTGAGTGGCACGTAGCAAGACGTACAGCTAGTTAGGAGTTAACATTGCTATCATCTTTATGTTCTGCAGGGCTCGGTGTCACTGTCACGTGACCGCGCGAACCCGCCCCCGCGGCGCCCCCCCCGCCCCGCTCCTCAAGCCATTAGGGTGTGAGTGACAGCGGGAACGGGTACGGTGAGGAAAACGTTCTTGACATGAATGAGCCTCCGACTCCACGTCAACCTGCCCATTCCCGCCATCCCTGCAACCGCGTTTTTCAATAGCGACGTCCTATCGCGCGGCCCGCGCAAGAAGCCGGAAGCTCGTGGGCTGCGCGCGCATCGCCCGCCGCCCCCGACTCCCCGGCGTGCTCCGACTGGCTGCGCGGCGTGCGTGCGTGCGTGCGTACGGCGTGGCGGCGCGCGCGGGCCTCACGTGACCGGCGGGGCCGCGGAGGCGGGAATCTGTCCGCGTTTGTCCGGCCGGTGGTTTTTGTCGGGCCGCTGTCGCCTCGCCGCGGGGAAAGCAAGCCGGCGCGTGAGGGCTGAAGCAGAACCCCTCTCCACGCCTCGCGGCCGGCGCCCCCGGGCCCGCCCGTGGCGTCCTCGTCGCGTGCTCGGCCTCGCTGGGCCGCGGCCTCCCGTCCCTGGGGTTGAGATCCGAAACGTTTGCAAACATGTCCCGGATCGAAAAGATGAGCATTCTGGGAGTGCGGAGTTTTGGAATAGAGGACAAAGATAAGCAAATTATCACTTTCTTCAGCCCCCTCACAATTTTGGTTGGACCCAATGGGGCGGGGAAGACGGTAAGTCCACAGTGACCGCCTCAGTTTCCGGCCCGCCGCCTCCTGACCATCCCGGCAACCGAATGTCCGGGCGGAGAGGGGCGGCGGGGGCCCGGGAAGAGCCCCGGGGCGTGGTCTCGAGGGGTCTCCAGGCGGCCACTCACGTGTCCCGGGCTGTGTCCCCCCCCCCCACTTCGGTCCCCCCACCCCCCGGGACTGGGACCTGCTGAGCGCTCAGCGAACCCTTCCAGAAGCCCTTGGGTCGGCATTGATTACTTTGCATACTGTCTGACGTAGAGGCTTTTTGTTGTGGGTCGAACCCCCTCTCCCCCCATACAGGGGTGTAATCTACTTTGGTCATGTTCGCCCCATTACTCATTGGTTTTTATCTTGCAATTTTTAAAAGAGGATTTCATTATGACCTTTTTCGTCCATGCATACGTGTGTACTTCTGTCATCTCCCCTCTTTTCCCCCTTAGGTCCCGCTGTCCGCCCTCCCCGTCCTCCCAAGTCCCACATTTCTATTCTGCAGAGAAACCCTGCCAGTCTTTTTTCTTGCACGGTTTTAAATTTAACCCCGCCTCCCCTTACTTACCGACACATTTTTCTTTTCCTTTCCCAGTAGTTGTCCCAAAAAGCAGTTTCTTAGAAAGATACAAAATATGACAGATATGAAGAGTCGTAAGCATGCCGGTTGTTAAGCATAATAGATGGAAAATAATTGTCCTTAAGATGAAGACCAGATGGCTAGGCTTAACACTTGGAGAACGATTTTGTTAGGATGCTCTTAGTCAAAATAAAATATTGGTGCATAGCTTATTTTACTGGGATTGTTTATTTTATTTTATTTTTTTGCCAGGCCTTGGGCTTGAACTCAAAGCCTGGGCACTGTCCCTGAGCTTTTTTGCTCAAGGCTAGCACTCTACCACATAAGCCACAGCGTCACTTCTGGCCTTTTCAGTTCATGGTGCTGAGGAATCGAACCCAGGGCTTCATGCATGCTAGGCAAGCACTCTACTACTAAGGCACATTCCCAGCCCATACTGGGATTGTTTAAAGAATGTTTTAAATTTAATTTAAATTTATGGGTGGCTTCACTGAGTGCTTGCCTTGCATGCATGCAGCCCTGGGTTCAATTCCTCAGCACCATATAAGCAGAAAAATCCGGAAGTGGTGCTGTGGCTCAAGTGGTAGAGCACTAGCCTTGAGCTGAAGAGCTGAGGGACAGGGCCCAGGCCCAGAGTTCAGGCCCCATGACCGACAAAAAAAAATTAAGGGGAAAACATAGCCAAGAAGCATTCTGGTTTAGAAAAGTGACTTGAGAAAAAGTAATGATGGTATAAGTACAGAAATGATCAAAGGGAAGAATCTGAAAACACAGTTGAGAATCGAATGAGAGAATATTATCTACCTTTATTAGTTTTTATAAAATTGTTGTTTATGTAATGCCTGTTAGGTGCTTTGTGCTGTATTGGGAGACTGACAGGTCCATGAGCACTGGCTTTCTGCTTCACTTACTGCCTTGTGTAACTGCTGGCAAAGGGATCTAACTGCTCTTGTGCTTTGTTTTTCTCATTTTAAAATGAACATAAAAGTTTCTAGAGTCGGGTGCTGGTGGCTCAGGCCTGTAATCCTACTCAGGAGGCTGTGATCTGAGGATCTGGGTTCAAAGCCAGCCTGGCCAGGAAAATCTGCGAGACTCTTTTCTCTAATTAACCACTCAGAAAACTGGAAGTGGCACTGTGGTTTAAGTGGTAGAGTGCTTGCCTTGAGCTGAAGAGCTTTGGGACAGCCCCCATGCTGAGTTCAGGCTCCACGACCCACCAAAAAAAAAAAAGGTTTCTAGAACCTAGGGTCAAGGAAAATTAGAAGAGTAAGGTATGTAAAAGTGCTTAGTAAAGTATTTGGCACATAGAAAGTTCTATGTCATTCTTAGCCATCATTAAGTTCATCTGGTTTTAATTAGAGAATTTTTTTTTAATTTTTAAGAAATAATAGCATTTCAATTTTTCTTTTTGGCACTAGGATTAGATCTTGGCTTTGCTTGTTAGCTGGCACTCCATTATTTGAGCCACATCTGTAGCTTTGCTTTTTGCTAGTTAATTGGAGATAGAGTCTGGAAGTTAACCCAGGCTGGCTGTATTCAAAGCCATCCTCTAGGTCTTAGTCTCTTAGGATTACAGGTGTGAGCCACTAGCATCCATTTAGTTACCATTTTAATTGTATAGCTTTTCTATGAACTTAGAGTAATTATCTAAACTTTTTTTTCTTTTTGGGGTCCGGTCCTGGGGCCTGAACTCTGGGCCTGGGCGCTGTCCCTCAGCTCTTCAGCTCAAGGCTAGCACTCTACCACTTGGGCCACAGCACCACTTCGGCTTTTTTCTTTTTGCTTATGTGGTGCTGAGGAATTGAACCCAGGGCCTCATGCATGCAAGGCAAGCGCTCTACTACTGAGCCACCTTCCCAGCCCCCTAAATTTTTCTTTTTTTTTTTGTCCATACTGTCTCACTGGTCATCCTAAGGTGGTCAGGAGGTTGGAATCCTCCTGTCTCTGCCTCCTGAGTGCTGATATTACATGTGTTGCCTACCACACTTGGTTTAACTATATTTTGTTTTCGACTCCCCAGTGTAAGTTTAAGATACCTTTTCTCAGTTCTCAGAGTATATTAATTATTTGGATAAAAGACCCACTCTTTTCCCCTTTTTTCTAAATGTTGCAGCTTATGAATGTCTGAAAAGCTTAAAACAAAGGAAATAGGGCCCATATGCTTTTAATCAAGGTTTTATTAATTAACAAGGTGTCCATCTCTGAATTCCTGGCAGCTGTTTTCCTAGGCCTCATTTTTTCCTGAACTGTCTGCTTCCTGTTTTAGATAGATAGATTCAGAAAATTCAGTATATTCGTTGTGTTTCTTTTGTCTGGAAAACAAAGCTTACAACAATCTGGAATTTTTTTGTTTTGTCAATTTTTTTGTTTTTTTTTGGTCTGTTTTGCTGGAAATGGAACTCAGAGCCTCCTCAGAGATGCTAGGTCAACTCAGCCCATCCTTGGGCTCCTTGTTTGTTTGTTTGCTACTGTTGTTTTTTTGTTTTGTTTTTTAAATAATTGCTTTATTAGGAGTACTGAAGTTTAATCGGGCCTCATGTGAGGCTTGTTAGCTGTACCTGGTATGTGTTTTGCCATCTTGTGGCTTGAATTCAGGGCACTGTCTCTGAGCTTCTTTTGCTCAAGGCTAGCACTCTACCACTTGAGCCACACCACCACTTCCAGCTTTTTCTGTTTATGTGGTAGTGAAGAATCAAACCCAGGGCTTTCATGTGTGCTAGGCAAACACTGTACCACTAAGCCACATAGTCCCAGCCCTAATCCCAGTTTTTTTGTTTTTGTTTTCTGGCTTGTGGGGCTTGAACTCTGGCCTAGGCACTGTCCCTCAGCTCTTTAGCTTAAGGCTAGTCCTCTACCACTGGAGCTACAGCACCACTCTGGCTTTCTGAGTAATTTATTGAAGATAGGAGTCTCACGGACTTTGCTGCCAGGCCTAGCTTTGAACTGCGATTTCAGATCTCAGCCTCCTGAGTAGCTAGTATTACAGGCATGAGCCACTGGCGCCTGGTTCCAGTACCAGTTTTTTAATTATTTTTATTACAGGTTTTATGTTGTCAGATTTTACCTGATCATATTCATGGTCTCTGTGATAAATATTTCTATTTTTATTTCTTTTTGTTTGTTTTTTTATTGGTCTTGGGGCCTGAACTCAGCATGGGCACTGTCTCTCAGCTCTTCAGCACAAGGCTAGCACTCTACCACTTGAGTCATAGCGCCACTTCTGCTCATATGGTGCGAGGAATCGAACCCAGAGGTTTATGCATGCAAGGCAAGCAACTGGACCACTGAGCCACCTGCCCAGCCTCTTTTGTTTGTTTGTTTGTTCATTTGTTGAGGGTCTTGAACACAGGACCTGGGTGCTGTCCTAAGCTTATTTTTAGCACAAGGCTAGTGCTCTCCCACTTAGAGCCACAGTTCCACTTACGCTTTCCTGGAGATTGGAGATAAGAGTCTAAAGGACTTTTCTGGTGAGTCTCAGATCTCAGCCTCCAGTGCCCAGCTTGTGACAAGTATTTTTTTTTGTCGGTCGTGGGGCTTGAACTCTGGGCCTGGGCGCTGTCCCTCAGCTCTTCAGCTCAAGGCAAGCGCTCTACCACTTGAGCTACAGCGCCACTTCCGGTTTCTGGTGGTTTATTGGAGATAGGAGTCTCACGGTCTCTCCTGCCCGGGCTGGCTTTGAACCACGATCCTCAGATCTCAGCCTCCTGAGTAGCTAGGATTACAAGCGTGAGCCACCAGCGCCCGGCATGACAAGTATTTTTTATAAAGAATGTTGTTAGAGCTGGGCACCAGTGACTCACGCCTGTAATCCTAGCTACTCCGGAGGCTGAGATCTGAGCATCACGGTTCAAAGCCACCAAGGCAGGAAAGTCTGTGAGACTCTTATCTCCAATAAACCACTAGAAAACCAGAAGTGGCACTGTGGCTCAAGTGGTAGAGTGCTGGCCTTTAGCTGAAGAGTTCAAGGACAGTGCCCTAGCCCAGAGTTGAAACCCCACGACCGACAAGAAAAAAAAAAGAATGTTGTTGGAGCTGGGAATGTAGCTTAGTGGTAGAGTGCTTGCCTAGTATTCATGAAGCCCTGGGTTCAGTCCCTCAGTACCACATAAACAAAAAAACAGAAGTGGTGCTGTGGTTCAAGTGGTAGAGTGCATTAGCCTTGAACAAAAGAAGCTGAGGGACAGTGCCCAGGCCCTGAGTTCAAGCCCCAGAACTGGCAAAAAAATAAAGAGAATGTTGTTGGCTATGCCTCTGTAATATTAGCTACTTAGGAGGCTGAGATCTAAGGATATCAGTTCAGAGCCAGCTGTGGTAGGGAAAATCCATAAAACGATCTCCAGTTAACTACCAAAAAGCCATAAGTGAAATTGTGGCTCAAATCGTAGAGTGCCTTGAGCATGAAAGCTCATGCAAAATGTCCAGGCCCTGAGTTCAAGCCCCAGGACCAGCCAAAAAAAAAAGATTGTGAAAAGCATCTATGATTCCATTATAACGGATATACTTATGTATTTCTTTAGACCATCATTGAATGTCTAAAATATATTTCTACTGGAGACTTCCCTCCCGGAACCAAAGGAAATACATTCGTTCATGATCCCAAGGTAATGATTCTAATACAGTTTTGTATTTCAAAATAACATTCTTATAACTATAAAAGCAGTAATAGCTTACTGTAGAGTACAGAATGGACAAGTTTAAAGAGAGATGAAGGTCACCTAAACATAATCTTAATTTCCATTGTTTACTGTTTTTTTTTAATGTCTCCTTTATATAGCTGAGGTCTTATTCTTCCTAATTTTATATTCAGATTTTTTTACTAAATTATTATAAAGTCCTATTTGAAACATAATAAACTCAATCTGCATGTTTAGTACATGGGTACTTTTATTAATTTTGAAACTTGTGTATACGTGAAGTATTTTATACTTGGTTGTCTAGCATAGTGGTCTGTAATGTTAGCATTCAGGAGGCTGAAATAAGCCAGCCTGGGCTACATAATGAGACTGTCTAAAATGTGTGATGATTTATGAATATAGGGGGGAAGCAGGGAGACTGGAACCAGGGTTTAAAACTCAACTTACTCAGCTTGCTTGCTTGGCTGTTGCTCTACTGCTTGAGCCACACCTACAAGCTTAATTTATTAATTATTTTGGAGATGGAACCTTTCAGACTTTTCTGCTCAGGCAGAAAAGTGTATTTTAGCACATCACTAGAATCATACTGTACGAATTAAATACTGTAGATCTGTGGATCTACAGTACTTACCAGTGTACAGTATTAATTACTAAGTAGTGTTCCATTGATCATTTAAAGACAACTCTGTAATTATCAAAGTATGAAATTTCATCTTAGAAATAGTAATACCAGGGCTGGGAAGTTGGCTCAGTGGTAGAGTGCTTGCCTTGCATGCATGAGGCCCTGGGTTTGATTCCTCAGCACCACATAAGCAGAAAAAAGCTGGAAGTGGTGTTATGGCTTAAGTGGTAGAGCACTAGCTTTGAGTTGAAGAGCTGAGGGACAGTGCCTAGGCCCAGAGTTCAGGCCCCACAACTGGCAAAAAAAAAAAGTAATACCAGCTGGGTGCTGGTGGCTCATGCCTACAATCTTAGCTACTCAGGAGGCTAAGATCTGAGGATTGTGGTTCCAAGCCAGCCCAGGCAGGAAAAGTCCATGAGACAAAAAACAGAAATAGTACTATGTTGTATATTTACTAAGCCCTCTCTTCATTTATCTCATTGTGTACTTTATTGAAGAATTGGAGAAACTATGAACATTTTCTTACTCTAATCATAAAAGCTACCAAACTACCATATGTATATACAGTTCTTTCTTTTTTCACTGCTCTATTAAGGTTGAAATTTTTTTTACCTGAGATAAGATCTTATTATACAACCTAAACCTGGGACTTCTACCTCCCTAGTGCTTGGATTATAATCATGTGTTATGCCAGTTTGTTTTACTCCTTAGCAACCTACTACTCTTGAGAGGCTAGAGTCTATATATCAACTCAAGAATTTCCATCTCTCTTGCATCAGCAATTTCTCCCTAATCCCAACCCCTCTTAAACTCAGGGCTTTTTTACTCTTGGCTGGCACTTGGACTACTCCTTGAGTTCTGGCTTTTTGCTGGTTAATTGCAGATAAGTCTTTTTGATTTGTCTGCCCTCACTGGCTTCAAACCTAAATTCTCAGATCTCAGTCTCTTGAGTAGCTAGGATTACAAGCATGAGCTACCAGTGCCTGACTAGATTTCAGCCTTTTGAGTAGCTAGAATTATAGGAGTGGGCTACCAGTGCCTCATCAGTTTTCCTTTTTTAGATTAGTCATATCAACATTTAAACATGCTCTACAAGCTCCAATCTGAATTAAAAAACTGTTCCAGAGTAACTTCTAGCTATTACCTTTTCTGTTTCTTTTTGGTTGGTCATGGTTATTTGTAGTAGTACTTTTTTATTCTGGTAGACCCAGCCTCCTGAGTTAGCTTGGATTATAGAATTACAGGTGTGAGCTACTGGTGCTTGGCTGTTTTTTTGAGACAGTCTCTATAGCCCAAGCTTGCTTCCAACATCACCCCCTCCTTCCTGGCCAAGGATTTGAACTCATGGCTTTGTGTTCATGCTAGGGAAGTGTTTTAGCACTTGAACCTTGCCTCTAGTCCTTTTGTTTTTGAGAGAGGGTCTTGATGCTACCTTTTCATAGCTAGACCTTGAACTCTTGAGTAGATGGGATTAAAGGTATAGCTTGGCCTTGATCTCTTGATCCTCTGTTCTCAAGTACTGGAATTATAGGCACTATACCCAGTTTTTTTGTGTTTTATAATAAAATTCTCAAGTGTTACATGTATTTATCATATATCTCAATTGAGATTTATGTGTAAAGATTTAAAGAGATCAGTCTTTTTTTTTTTTTTTTTGGTTCGTGATGGGGGCTGAACTCTGGGCCTGGGTTTTGTCCCTCAGCTCTTCAGCTTAAGGCTAGTGCTCTACCACTTGAGCCACAGCACCACTTCCAGTTTTTTTCTGCTTATGTAATGCTAAGGAATTGAACCCAGGGCCTCATGCATGCAATGCAAGCACTCTACCACTGAGCCAGCTTCCCAGCCAAAGAGACCAATCTTGATTTTGTATTTTTTGTCTTGTTCAATTGTTCAATGGCAAGTATCAAATGGGATTTAACTAAGGTTGGAGATTTTATTTTTATTTTTTTGAAATACTGGAGTTTGAACTCAGGTTCTTCTACTTGCTAGGTTGGTAGCTGCTTTGTTTTTGCTGTTTTTTTGAAAAATATGATTTTATTATTATTAGTTGTTGAATAGATGGTTGCCATTTTATAAGTAAGGTAATATTTCTTTTTTTGTTTTTGGGTCCAGTTGTGGGGCCTGAACTCTGGGCCTGGGCGCTGTCCCTCAGCTCTTCAGCTCAAGGCTAGCACTCTACCACTTGAGCCACAGCGCCACTTACGGCTTTTTTCTTTTCTTTTTGCTTATGTGGTGCTGAGGAATCGAACCCAGGGCCTCGAGCATGCAAGGCAAACGCTCTACCACTGAGCCACCTTCCCAGCCCTATATAGTTAACTTTTAAAATATGATGAGATAAAATAGAGAGTTCAGATACTAGGTACTAGGTACTCTCTTCCCTTTCCCTTCCCCTCTTCTCTCTCTTCCCGCTCTCTTCGTACCCCTTTTTCCTGTTTCTTCCTTCTCCTACTTCTTCCCCCTTATTTCTTCCCTTTCTCCCCTCCCCTTTCCTCTCTCCTTTCCTCCAACCCATGCATACCTTTCCTGATAAGAGGTTGTAAAGGAATTTATTTTTTATTTTTTTGTTTTTTGGTCAGTCATGGGGCTGAACTCTAGGCCTGGGTGGTGTCTAGCCCCTACCACTTGAGCCGCAGTGCCACTTCGGGTTTTTTCTCTGCTTATGTGGTGCTGAGGAATCGAACCCAGCGCTTCACGCATGAGAGGCAAGCGCTCTACCCCTGAGCCAACTTCCCAGCCCCAGGAATTTATTTTTACTTAAACATTCCTTCTCCAAATTTGTAAGTTCATTCCAGTCACAGAGAAATAGACAAACATGTTTTAGAAGATATTCTACAAATAATTTTCAAAATAATCTGTTATGAGGGCTGGGAAGGTGGCTCAGTGGTAGAGTGCTTGCCTTGCATGCATGAGGCCCTGAGTTCGATTCCTCAGCACCACATAAAGCAGAAAAAGCGAAGTGGTGCTGTGGCTGAAGTGGTAGAGTGCTAGCCTTGAGTTGAAGAGCTGAGGGATAGTGCCCAGGCCCGGAGTTCAGGATCCAAGGACTGGCTATGCAACTATTCTAAAGAAATATGAGGGGCTGGGAATGTAGCTGAGGGGCTGGGATTGTGGCTCAGTGGTAGAGTGCTTGCTTAGCATGCATGAAACCCTAGGTTCCATTCCTCAGTACCACGTAAACAGAAAAGGCTAGAAGTGGCGCTGTGGCTCAAGTGGTAGAGTGCTATCTTTGAACACAAAGAAGCTCAGAGACAGAGCCTGAGTTTAAGACCCAGGACTGGCAAAAAAAAAAGAAAGAATGGTAGTAAGTAAAGGAGGTAGATAATATTGTGTCATTTTAATAAAACAAGTATTCCTTTCCGTGTGTGTGTGTGTGTAATTAATTTTTTGTTGTTGGTTGTGGGGCTTGAACTCTGGGCTTGGGCGCTGTCCCTGCGCTCTTCAGCTCAACGCGAGCACTCTACTGCTTGAGCCACAGCGCCACTTCCGGTTTTCTAGTGATTTATTGCAGATAAAGAGTCTCATGGACTTTCGTGCCTGGGCTGGCTTTGAACCATGATCCTCAGATCTTAGCCTCCTGAGTAGCTAGGATTACAGGCGTGAGCCACCAGCGCCCTGCTGTGTAATTAATTTTATTTATTTTTTGGTGCTAGTCCTGGGGCTTGAACTCAAGGCCTGGATGCTGTTCCTGAGCTGCTTTTTTGCTTAATGCTTAACACTCTTACCACTTGAGCCACAGCTCCACCTGTGGCCTTTTTTTGGTAGTTAATTGGAAATGATATTCTCACAAACTTTCCTGCTCAGGCTGGCTTTGAATAGCAATCCTTATATCTTAGCCTCCTGAGTATCAAGCATTACTGGCATGAGCCATTGGCATATTCATTTGAATATTTATACTTTTTAGAACTAGCATTCTGGTGCTTTGTAAAATAGCATAATTATTCTTTCACTTTCAAAGGTTGCTCAAGAAACAGATGTAAGAGCCCAGATCCGTCTGCAGTTTCGTGACGTGAATGGAGAACTTGTAGCTGTGCAGAGATCTATGTTGTGCAGTCAAAAAAGCAAGAAGACAGAATTTAAAACTCTGGAAGGAATCATTACGAGAACAAAGTAGGTCTTCATGACATATATGAGTATCTTTATTTTTAATCTTTTATTTGTTAAGAGTAAGGTTTTTAAAATACAACTTTATTTTGGTAAATAATTTTCTTTCAGCAGGACTTTACTTTTTAGAGTTGTTTAAATTTGTAATAGAATTGGATAAAAAGTGTGAGGTTGGGGCTGGGAAGGTGGCTCAGTGGTAGAACACTTGCCTTGCATGCCTGAGGCCCTGGGTTCAATTCCTCAGCACTGCATAAGCAAAAA